AATGTGATGAAAAAAGAAATGCTACATATTATTTCTGGCTCCATATTTGCCTATCATTCCAAGTAACGGGTAAGAGTAACGTTTCCTCACTTTCAATGTGGAATGTTCCATTTCCAGTAACCAACTTCATTTTTCTTTTACCACCATAGCCAAACAGATTGAAGCCTTCATTGGAAATAATTTCCAGCTGAAAGAAGGAGATTACACTAGAGGAATCATGCAAATGCAGCTCATTCAGTTCTTCTGCAATGTTTGCATAGGTGTGTGCTATAAGTAAGCCACGCACGCGCGAACTGAAAGTCGAGACAGTTAGCTCGAGTCCTGGACAGAAGTGAAATGCCAACAGAAAGAGAAACTTGTGCTGAGAAGGTGGAAAGAAAAAAGCTCTGGTCTTGAAGGAGTTCCGAAACATCCAAAATGGACAAAGATGATCTTGAATAAGAGGTGAGGGGAGGATTCGAGACCGGATCGGGGTCAACTGTCATGTGTAAAGCTTTTCAGAATTTTTTACAACCTCCCTCCCAAAAGGGTACGACACCCTTCACAGCCACTGATAATTCTAGATAAATTTAAATGTACATACAAGCAGAAGGCTTCTACCTCTTCCTAAATTTATACAGCCAAAAAAGAGCATTACCAGAGACCACAGAAGAACAACAAGAATGTTAAGTTGAGGCACTCGGAGAAATCCAAAAGAAAAAAAGCGAGAAAAAAATTAGAATTAAGAGGCATGCGCATTACTATAACAATATAAAGAACGGAATTGCTGGCATGTTCGGGAAAACCTTTCAAATGCCCTATCGATTTCGAACCACAAGAGTGTCCGTGGCATATCTTTGAGCGGGAGTTGTTAACACTGAATGCTTATAATTCAGTTGGCCATGAGCAAAAAATTGCACTAGGGATGTTTTTTCGTTCAGATGGTTCAAAATTTATTCGAGGGAAGTATCCTAAAATAGAGGGGTCCTCTTCTCGAGGTTCACAGAAATGATTCATCATAGCGAAATTCTCGAACAAGTAACTTTGAACAATATTTCTGTTACTAATGAGGAAAGCCGATCTTGTCGTTTTCAGCACAGCCTCTCAGCTTTCATATTATTCGCAACAAGAAGTCATGTTCATTGAAAGCTCAAACCAGCATGCTGGAGAAAAGTCCTCAGAAACCCCCCAAGAAAGTCAAACGGTCCGATTTGTGAAAAAATAACTTTAGGGTCACCTCTAGTTTTTTTGTTCTTGCTTTAATGGCCGTTTTTAATGGCCATTTTTCATTTTGAAGAGATTTACGTTTGTTGAGAACCTTTCAACATTGCATTTCCGCGAAGAATAAGTCTGAAATACAATTTTTCCAAAACATCTAAATCTCTTAACAGCATTTCTCAGGTCGATTGGTTTGATGGATTCACACATGTGAATGATGAAGATTCGGATCCTTCAGTGATGAAGTACGGATTTCTCTGACACAATATTTCGATCCACTAATCCAGGTAATCAGATGCCAAAATCAGCTCTCGTCATCTGTCATGCGTTCCATAATTATAAGGTCACCCTAAAAATTGCATTTCCGGAACAAGCAGCACTGGTAATTTTTCCTTGTATTACCAGCTGATTCCTCACTATGAAAAACCCCTGATCGCAATTTTGGCGGGAGCTTTTCTTTAACTTTTTTATAATTATTTTTCGGTTTTTGCACCGTTTCATAATATAAGGTCACCCTAAAATTTTGCATTTCCGGGAACAAGCAGCAGACTGGTAATTTTTCTAGTATTACCAGCTGATTCCTCACTATGAAAAACCCCTGATCGCAATTTTGGCGGGAGCTTTTCTTTAACTTTTTTATAATTATTTTTCGGTTTTTGCACCGTTTCATAATATAAGGTCACCCTGAAAATTGCATTTCCGGAACAAGCAGCAGACTGGTAATTTTTCTAGTATTACCAGCTGATTCCTCACTATGAAAAACCCCTGGATCGCAATTTTGGCGGGAGCTTTTCTTTCAAT